CTCAAAGTAAACTTTTAGTCCAAATTTTATTAAAAATTTCAAACTCGATTTTCTCGAAAACCATGAGAGCTAGCGATTTTAACAAAATACCATTTCAAAGCCCTTGTCAAGAGTTACATTTCCTGAAAATTTTAATTCAAAATTTTTAATAGATTTTAAGATATCCAAGATCAAATATTTTAAAATAAAAATCTAAAGGGGTAACCCTTTGAAAAATTCGAAATTTTTATTGTTCATATTTATTGAATTTTGACTTTTCCAATCGATCGGGTTTAAATTAGTCGAAAAAAACTCTAACATCATTACAAAATCTTGATTTCAACACAGAGAAAAATTAAAAAGAAACTCTCAATTTTTAGGTTTAAATTTTTTTTGAATCCTGACAAGGTTAGGAGCAATTGCCAATACTTCTACTAAATTTTGAGCAAATCAAAATAAATTATATATGGTTGGAAAGAGCATCAAATTCTCTATAAATCAGTGCTAGATTGAGTTTGATAATTTGAATACTTTTAGAGCAATTGAGCCTCAAAGTTGGATTTTAGTTGAAATATAGTCAAAAACTTCAAACTCGATTTTCTCAAAAACCGTGAATGCCAGCGACTTCAACTAAGTACCATTTTGAAACCCTAATCAAGGGCTACAATCTCAAAAAAAAAATGATCCAAAATCTTCGACAAGTTTCGAGAAAATTGAGTTTGAAAATTTTGAAATTAAAATCCAAAGGGGTTTGTTTAACCCTTTGAAAAAATCGAAATTTTTATTTTTCAGATTTTTTGAATTTTAACTTTTCCAATCGATAGAGCGGATCTAAATTAGTCGAAAAAAACTCTAACTTCATTTCCAAATCTCGATTTCAAAAGAGAATAAAAGTCAAAAAGAAAATCTCAATTTTCAGGTTTAATTTTTTTTTTTAAATCCTAACAAAGTTAGGAGCAATTGCCAATATTTCCATTAAAATTTAATTTGAGCAAATCAAAACAAATTATACATTGTTGGAAAGAGCATTAAATTTTCTATAAATCAGTGCAAGATTGAGCTCCATAACTCAAATACTTTCCGAGCAATTACACCTCAAAGTTGAATTTTAGTCGAAAAAGTAACAAAAACTTCAAACTAAATGTTTTCAAAAACCGTCAATGCCAACGATTTCAACCAAACACCATTTTAAAGCTCTCATCAAGGGCTACAATCTCAAAAAAAATTGTTCCAAAATCTTTGACGGGTTTCGAGAAAATTGAGTTTGAATATTTTTTGAAAAAAAAATAAAAAACTCAAAAGTTTCATTTTTCAGATTTTTGTAATTTTGACTTTTCCAATCGATAGAGCGAGTTCAAATTAGTCGAAAAAAACTCTAACATCATTACAAAATCTTGATTTCAATACAGAGAAAAATTAAAAAGAAAATCTCAATTTTTAGGTTTAAATTTTTTTTGAATCCCATCAAAGTTAGGAGCAATTGCCAATACCTCCATTAAAATTTGCGCAAATCAAAATAAATTATATATGGTTGGAAAGAGCATTAAATTCTCTATAAATCAGTGCTAGATTGAGTTTCATAACTCGAATACTTTTCGCACAATTGAGCCTCAAAGTTGTTTTACTCGAAATTTAGTCAAAAACTTCAAACTCGATTTTCTCAAAAACCGTAAATGCCAGCGACTTTAACTGAGTACTATTTTGAAGCCCTTATTAGGAGCTACAATTTCAAAAAATTGATCCAAAATCTCTAATACTTTTTGATCAATTGGGTCTCAAAGTTGAATTTTACTACAATCACTGATCAATAAATCCCATGTATTCCCAAGAATTACAACTAGTTACTTGTGATTGTTAAATATTTTACCAGGTGATTTCCATTTTTTTGGGGATTCCTATATCATTCTCAATTGATTACCTGATTTCCTCTAAGCAATCATTTGATTCTCAAAACAATATCCAATTGTTAAGATATTGTGCAAAATGTGGCAACGATAAGCCACATTTTCTTCTGTACCATATGGCATTATCGAATTTCGCATCCGACATTTTGTTTATGGGCCACAATGTCATCTAATAGTCAAACTGTCAAACCCAAATATTATAATTTTTTTCTGGCAATTAACAAAAATTCAACTAATTGGAGTTTCCTCCCCTACTCAATTCAAAAAATAAAAAAAAGTCCTGAAAAATTGAGACTGAAAAACCAGGTACACACGATGAAGGTGACAACACATAAAAACCCTCGCCCCTACGGACTCGTAGTAATTTAAAAAGACCCCGGCCCTCTGGGCTCGTAATTTAAGTAGACCCCTGCCCTTCGGGCTCGTAAATTAAAAAGACCCCGACCCTATGGGCCTGCGAAGTGTTGCTGTCAAACTTACGATTTTTTTTATTAAAATTACGTCTTTTGAAGCTTTATTTTTACTTAATTGTTTTATTCAATTTGCATTATTTTCAACGTCATTAGTGTGCACTGAGTGTATGCGTGTCTTTTTTTACTAGTTTGTTAAAAAAAGAGATAGAAATACATTTTTTCTGAACTGGTTCTAGCGAAGGATTTGTTAAAATTCACAAAATTATTAGGTTTTGAAAGAAAAATTTAAAACGTAGCAACCCTAGTGGAAAAATGTAGTAACCCTAACGCAATTTAACGTTTCAAAGTAGGCCCTGTAGTTTTTGACAGATAATTTAGAATGGCTGGGTTGTTTTCAAGAGCTACTTGATTTGATAAATTTTTTGTTCACAGTTATCTGTATTACCGACATCGATTAAAACCTGGGCTGGGATCACGACAAGTAGAATTCCACTAGAATTCTACTTTCATGACGTCAGGTTGCCTAGCAACAGTGATCATCGCCTGTAGTATACGCGATAAATAGGTCGCGGGTGACGTCATGAAAATAGAATTCTACTTGTCATGATCCCAGTCCAGGATTGCTTCAAGGTTCACTTAGTTTTTGATAAGTAGTAATCTTATCGCTTGTCATAAATGATATTTGACATTTTGCCCAACAGTGTTGCCGATGTTTATATAATTACTGTTATGGAAAATTTGAAATTTGCAAGGCCTAATTGGACTTTTTTTTTTGTATAAATTCGAGCCTCAATGATTGACACAATATTTGTTATAAGTTGTAGTTGGCAACACTGTTTGACAAGGGACAAAGTAGGCATTGCAAAATTTTAAAATTTAAATATGGCGCCCTGTAATACCGACATTGCAATACATACATATTTCCAAAGTCTACTTTGGTTTGATATAAGCCCGTAAGGCGAGAATTTTCCTGAAAAATCAACTTTCAAGATTTCTGGTGTTTTTTTTTTTTTAAATCTGGTGATTTTTCATTCCAATTTCTGGTGAATTTAATTTTTTTGACCTGGCAACAGTGATCGTTTATCAGAGCTGGCTGTAAGTACAGTGACTCTATTAATACTCTTATAACAGTGGCGACAATGGAGAGTTAGCTCCGCCCACCCGCCATGTTGTTGCAAACTTTAATATTTGCGGCATAGCTGTATTATGACGTTCAAAAGAAATTAATTTAATGAAACTTGTAGAGAGGCACTGTAGGTTGATGATAAAACTGTTGCTGTCCTTTTCTATTTGCCTGTGTTAAACAAAGAGGCAGCTAATTGGTTTGCTCGCTGCGCAATAAACAACGTAGAAGTCCAATTCCTCCTTTTCGTGTTTATAAGCCATTGTTTCCTTCTTTCCGGATCCCGTGAAAAGCGTTTCATCAAGAATCCCTTTTTTGCAGAGTTGCTGTAATGTACGGCAGCACAACCTGACATTGTTTTCGTATCCTGAAGACCTAACCTAAAATTACAAAATTGAAAATCTCTAAAATACGTTTAGTTGTAGACTCCAGTACACATAAAACTATGGATTCTCACATATTTTAAACTATTTTTTCATTCAATATTTGGAGTGGAAATTCGTTTGAAAATTTAGAAATAATGTTAATAATATTAGGTAGGTACTCACCCCCAACACGAAGTTTTTAAATCTGAACAAAATTGAGACGCCAACTGGAAATATCCAAATATCGCACAGATTAATGTTCAATGTACAAAAGTTTCTATATAATGTGCAATAATAAGTACCAGAATCCAATTAATAAATTGGAAAATCACAAAATTTACAAAATAACGGCAATATTCTCATGAAAACAATGTAAACAAGAACGTTTTTGCAACAAGATGGCGGCAAATACATGAACCAATCAAAAATTGGTCCCTCAATTGTCGCCACTATCTTGTATAGAGGCACTGTAGCTGTAAGTATCGACAGATTGTACTCATTTATTAGAAAAAGCCATGGTACTTGAATAGGTACCAAAAAAATTTATAAAGTATATACCTATTACATTTTTTTTTACTGAAGTCCTTAGCTTCAAGTACTTGCTCCTTAATAAATATTAAGTACCAGTATGAAAGTAACTTATTAACGTTTTTTTTTTTAAGAGAAAGCCTATACCTAAAGTACTTCAGTAGTTCAAGTTGCACTATTGTGGTTTGTAATACAGTAGGAATAGCAAATAAAATATTGTCAGATGTGTTTTTTCTTCCACCCCACACTTTTTCTGTCTTTTCGTTCCTCCTGCATCAAGTGTTAATGTTTTGTCGTTATAAAATCTTTGACAGATTCGGTTCTTATTACTATTAAAGAATAAGAGAATCAATGCTTCTCAAATCGTGTCTAGAAAAATACATTTTGTACGATACACGCAAATAATACCTATACATTGTTATACTAATAACATGAAATCAGTAATCCGTATCTCATTTCTTTACACTTGCATAAATAAAACGCGTATAATTACGAACTAACTGGTAAATTAATTACCGCATCTCAATGGTATCTAATAACTTTAATAATGAGTTGCTCAATTGAACTACTTTACGGATAATTTATGATGAGAATTTCATTCATCTGTCAAAATTGATATATCAGCAATTCTCATATTATATAATTGAACATTTTGATCAATTTCTCCCATCAGCTCCAGATGGCAACATTTTCTACAAAACAAAAAAGACGCGGACGTTTTAATTGATATCTTTTCCTGACATGAAAATAAAGCTATAGTTGCTAGATTTCTTTGAAATTTACGATGTAATGAAAATATTTCAATAATATAATTTTCATGCCACTTGTTGATAGTTTATGAATGTTTAATTTTTCTTTCAGCTATGGATATTCCTAAACTGGATATTAGAATGCCATTCAATGTGTATGCCAGAATACGGACCAAATCCCACATCATGTAGATATACCCCTGCACCGCCAGGAAAAACACCCTCTTGTGCCAGGCCTGGAGTCACTTATTGTGAATATGTAGATCATTATCCAAGGTAAATCATTATTTTTTTCTGTCAAGTTTAAATTGCATATTATTATTTTTCTAGTGAAAGAATCTATCATTTGATTCAGAGTTGGCAATTTAACCATAAAAGCCTAATTATAAGTGAAGCCAAAGAAGACTTTAATGCTGTCTATTTTCCACCACCAAGTACCATTTATGGTCCACCTGCAGTTGATGTTGGTTATCATTATCCTGAACCTATTTATATTCCAAAACCTACCCAAATGTTTCAAGAACAAGGTGAGAATTTACATTATTTGAGATTGAAATATGTAATTTGATAAAGGAAATGAGTTACATAATTGATTTTCAGGTGGATACTACATTCCTCCAAAACCACAAATAACGCAGCCACAAAATTTGACATGGAGCAGCTTCAATGGGTATCCAGATTACAATAAGGATGGAACCTTTTTAACTTACAAATACACGAGCAATGTTCCTCAAAATTACAATCCTTATCAGACTTATCCTTCACCGGCGTATACACAAATTAATGAACTTTGGAAAAGGTAAAAAATTTAATATAAATTCCAAAAAAAAAACAATCCCCAATTTTGGGATTGACGTCTTCAAAAACTGGTATCATTTTTTTTCTGCTCAGATGCGTAGATTAGTTTTAACCTTTAACTGACTGGGAACATTGACCACATTGACAGTTTTCGTTTTCCAGATAAAAGCGTCACAATCTTCACATTGAAAAATAGGTATAATTTTTTGAAAGAAGGTCTAGAAAGCCAATTCACTGTGCACGATTTTCACAATATAAAATGGCACTTCGAACCCCTAAATAACATAAACCTTTATTTTTCATAGAAATCAAAGACTGAAACGATCTCTCCGCAAAAAACGAACCATACAAATCACTTCGCAATACACTCGAGACTCTCAATCTTCGAATAGTACCTCGTCGACGTCACAGCTGTCACGAAAGAAAAGACAATCAACGATACAAGGACAACCGATTTGTAGAAGTCGTTCCAATTACATAATGCCCAAAGCGGCATTGAATAGCAAAGGCAATTGGATGTACGTGGTTAACATGCCGGAAACTGATCGACAGTTCACGCAGTTGGTCAAGAGCGAGATGTGTGTGTAAGTATAATTCTGAATTTGTAGTTTTGCCTTAAAAACCATTTGTAAAATAGGTATAACCGTTGTAAAATAGGTACCTATAACCGTTGTATAACGAAAAATAAACTATAATTATTATACCTTCTGTACCAATTTGAAACTCTACATTGTGGTACCTTATTTTAATAATATTTTCCCTGTTCAAGTGCCCAAAAAATACAAATGTTTTTAGAATTTTCATTTTGATGTTATAATGGTTTCAGCTAAAAGTATACCCATCATCAAATTTGTATTTTTCTCCTTCAGAAGGTCGCTATAATGTAAACATGATTATTTGTTATAGTATAATATAAGCTTTATTTCAAGAATCTCTGGACTTTTCCAAAATTCTCCTCTGTCAATACTCTTTATTACTCTGATTCACTCATTATTCTCATTCCATCTTCATCTTCTTCTAGGGCACATTTCTTAATGTCTTCTAGTTTTGAAACTTCCTGAAGTTTGTTAGTCTTATCAATATTTTTCACCGTTTTATGTTGTACTAATAGAGAGCGGAACTAAATTTTTATCTCGTCATTTATTGATTGATTTACAAGCAGTACGTAGACAGCCCTGTCTTAGCTTAGGAGCCTGTAACTTTTAAGAAAGGTGCAGAACCGCTCAAGTCGTACATGCAGAAACTTGTACCCGAGGTATCGCAGTTTGCAGACATGCTTGGTAGTTTCATCTACTTTGCTGCAGAACCTGCATTCCGCCTCATTATATTGAGTCAGATTTTGTTGCAAGTGGTAGGTACATGACTACCCAGTGCCCCGTCCAGACGCCTGTGATCTTTCTCATAGTATTTTTATAGCTAGTACCTAAAGCTAGTACCTACACAGTCAATTGAACCCTTACTTTCCGCTAATGGGGGATCTCAATAACTTTCAACGCAGAGCTTGGAGACAGTAACAATAATTAGGCATGGAAAACTTTCCACTCAGGTGATTTTCCACCCAGGTTTTTATATGTATTATTATGTAACATCTGAAAGAACCTGGGTAGAAGGTTTTTCATGTCCCAGAATGTATTATATAGTTTACATGAACTTCAACTAGTATAGATTGGCTTGCCAGCCATAATGTTTATACAAATGATTCAAAAATGTTAAGCATCGTTTCTGACATGTTGCAAGTTGATGTTAAACAATATAAAATTGTAATGTTTCATTCTTTTTTTCAGTGATACAAACTGTAACGGTCTCTGTCAACTACCCCAAGGATATTCATCAAGATGCGAACAAAAATACGTCCAAAAACGACTAATCGCGCTGGATAGTAGCGGAAGTGACTTGTACAGCGACACTTTTTGGTTTCCTAGTTGTTGCGTTTGCACTGTTTCCAATAGTTGATTTTAACAGGGTCTAGATCACTAAAATATCACTGCCTAGAAACCTTTTTTTTATTTTATATAGTTTTAATTTTATACCTTTTTTTTTAGTTAGAAACAGACAGCACTACTGTGTAAGTTAAGTTGCCATGTATTTTGCACTATTACATACTAGAGGTTATTTATTTTATAATAAATGCCCTGTATTATATTATACATAGGTAGCTATAAAAATACATTGGCTAGTGGAAATATAAATTATTAGATAGATTTATTATTGATTTAACTGATGAGTATTGTGATTGTAAAGGTTTATAGTTTTTTATATTGTATATTTTGAAGCACATGGACAAGAAAATAAATAATATTTTTTTTTGTAATTGAAATTTTGAGTTTTGTTTTGTTTCTGTGGTTGTTGTTTGAAGTGACTCACAAGATAATTCAATTCTGACGGAACCAGTAGCCCAAGAAATTTATACTTGGGCCGCAAAAAATTTTGCGAGGGCAGGCTGATTTTTCCAGGGCTGATCGGGGAGTGTGTCCTGAGTATTCAGCCAAAAAATCACACTCGAAAGCCTTGTGCGTTCGGCCCTATTGACCTTTTTCTTATTTTTTCTTTTTTTTCGACAAAGTGACGTTTACAAAACTTGTAGATAATTACATTCTGATCAAGTTTGCCTAATGACTTTTTTTGCAAGCTATTTTAGTTTAGGCGTTGCGGCCATTTTAGTGCTCCAGAATCATCTTTCGAGTGTGATTTTTTGGCTCAATACTCAGGACACAGCCTCCAATCAGCCCTGAAAAAATCAGCCTGTCCTCGCAAATTTTTTTGAAAAACCCATAAATTTCTTGGGCTACAGTTTAAATGGAAACTTCTTGAAATAAGAAAGATATTTATTCAGAATAATAAAGTAAAGCGTAGTTTACACGAGCAACTTAAACTATCGCAAATTTATGTCTGAAAGTAGGTACAGTGGGAATCATTGCAATTGGCACACACTCTTTAAAATCCCTCGTATTGAGTCAAAATTCTAACCAATAAATCTATTTACTGCAGCATTTTGCTATTACTGGTGTGTGAGATTTGACACATTACGAGGGATATTTATATAATGTGTGTGCCAATGGACCTTTCTCATTTTACCTGTGCTGCGCGCGCATCTTGTGGGTGACAGATAATTAAATCGTCAATTTACTGAACACGGTCTGACCCTGACGTATTTAAGCTAACCTCAATAATCAATCAGTATCAATCAATATTGCTGAAAATTAATACAAAAACTGTTTATGATACAATGGTTCAAATGAGTTGAATGAGTTCTTGTCAGAATTAGGCGAAAAAGAAGTGAAACCTTTCTTTTCACAAGTTCCCAAGCAATCAAATTGTAAGAAAACAATAGTTACGTGCTCTCAACCCGAATGAAGACGATTTAAGTTGGGACAGAGATTTGAGGGTTCGTAAAATAACGATTTTTATATCAAATACAATAATAATGTACAATTAAAGGTTTGCTGCAAACATTTTTGCTGCGGTGGGTTTTCTTTCTAATTAATGTTACTACGTATTTTGTCATATTTACGTTTAAAAATAAACAAAAACAGAAACATAACCGAAATTGCACAATTTGACAAGTGGAACCAATCAAAGTCATTCCACACAGGTATCGCGCGTCATTATATGTGTCTTTTTCTTTATTGCAGAAATCTTAATAAACTATCCTTGTTGTTCATTGCATGAGAAAGGTCCATTGCAATGATTCCCACTGTACTTCCAAAGAGTATGCTGAATGTAAACAGTGTCATACTAACATACATTTTGCCTCACAACTTTGTTAATTTCAATCCGATCTTAACGAAATTGAGCTTCACTTGAAGCCAATTAAATTCTCTACAAATCTCCTGTGACTGATTTCAATCCAGCTTCAATAGTTTTGCAACTGCAAAGCTTCAAAGTCTTGACGATGATTTGCTCAAAATTCATGAATAAAAAGCAATTCAAGAGCCTGTAATAGACAAAAATTGAAATAAAATAAAGCAGAAAATTCTAGATTTCCAATTTTAAAGTCTGGAAACTCGTGTAAAAGGCCCTTTTTGTCCTTAAATTACTCAAAAATACAACTTCCACAACCAAAATGGAACAATAATATATTAAAAACAAGGCTCAAAATCAATCTGTAAGTCTTAGATATTCTAGAGGCAAAATCGTACATCTTTTCCTCTGGAAGAACTAACCCAAACTAAAAACATTGGAAAGCAATTTTTTCTCAATTTGATTTTTGTCCCTGGACATTGGAATTGGAGAACTCACTCCCAACAAGTACCTAGGTAAAGTCTTTTAACATTCCAGTATCCAAAATGAAAAAAACTAGACAACAAACAGTAAAATCTCCCGTGTAGTGTAAACCATGCTTAACGTTTGGTTAGTTCTAGTACATTAGTAAATTTTTGGATGGAATTGAAATAAAAATTATTTTTTTTAATGTTAAATCCATTTATAATAGACTTTCTAGTTAAAGACATCAACATACATTAGGGTTAATTCCCATATAGGAGATTATTTTCTCTAGAATATAACCTTATTAGTAGGTAATAAATAAATGCAAAATTTGGGATTTATGTAGGAAGTGCCAGTTTTAGCCCAAACTAGGACTAAAACAGCAGCAAGGAAAGTTACCACTTGGATTCTTAATCTAAAAGTGAATTGACACCTATTTGTTTCAGATAAAGAACATAATTCAATAAAAAAATTCTAACACCAGGTAACAACAACCAAAAAATCATAATAATTTACAACCTAAAACACATATTATTATTTAGCTAAATCTGGCAATGCTACACGTAAAAATCACAATATAATAACATTAATAATGCCAGGTGGGTTTTTTAATCCAAAACCTTCTACTAAAAAAACAGGACCAACATTGAATTGCCACAACTATGAGGGTTGAAATTACTTGCAAAAGGCTCCTTGGTAGATCATTTTGGAGACTCCACCCAGTAAATGGATTAGTACATTATTATTATTCTATAAACATGAGATTTCTATTAAAGAAAAATTTTCCTTCAAATGAAAAAAGCAAAATTTCATAAAATCCAATCAAACTTTAATCTGAATTTATAAAACTAAACTTTGATTTCACATTATTTACTGCTCAGTGCAAAAAAAAAAGAAAATATAATATTTTAGCACACTTGTAGGAAGAATGTTTAAAAATTTAATATTAAAGCTAACATAAGTACAAATTCACCAGCAAACATAATTTGGTCCCTAACCAACAAAAAATAAATTTTAATAAATAAAAAAATAAATAAATAAAACAGATTCTAGCTGACTGATAAAAAATAAATATGTAAAACATTTAATACATATATCACTGGTGGCCTAATTAAATATAGGTCCAATTTCAATACGAACTAAAAATTGCACTAAAACTGTCAAAAAAAAAGTTCAACAAACATACTTATAACAAAATGATAATAAATGGCACAATAAAAATAAATGGTAGGTATATTATCTGACTAAAATAATTTAAATATTCGCGGTTAATATATTTCTATTTTCGAGTGATTCCTTTAACATATGAAAGAGTTGCAATTGTTGCTCGGGTTTCAAATACAATACCTGCGACAACAGTTTTTGCGGACTTTCCGTTTGAATAAAGCTACTGATGTAAACGTTGACAAAAGTCGCCATTAGGAATTGACAGTCGAATCGATCCATTATACCTCCATGACCTGGGATTACATCACCAAAGTCCTAAAGAAAAAAAAACGATGATTGTACATGTACAAGTTGAAATTTTATTGTCTTTACAATTTTGTTGCTATAAAATTGTCACATTATGCTTTGGTGATAAAATATTAAATAGTGCCAGATCCCTCTTATACTGTTTTAGATTAGCAGATATTAAATTTACCTTAATTTTGAATGCCCTCTTGAACCCTGAAGCAAAGAATCCTCCAAAAGGACCAATAACACTACTAAAGATCGATAAGGATAGTGAGTGAAACATAAATGGATATAAATGAAGCGTCGCACCAAAGCCAAACTGAAAAGGATTATTATTAAATTATACTTAATAGTAAAATTTTTATTACAAATGACTTACAATCTTCATCCAAACTGGCAAATGATACTCTTGTAAAGTGAATAGAGTACTAGGTTCGCAATCCATTGACATTTTCTCCAAAGTTTCACTGTATTCAATAGGACATACAAAATATGGATATTGACACATTACATAGGAAATCTATAAACAAAACACATTTCAGCCAAATAATTTTGAAAAAAAATTGTAATTTTTTACCCCAAATCCAAAAATTACTGTTGAAAACCCACCGCCGATAAAGCCTTCCCAAGTTTTCTTTGGGGATAATTTGATCAGTGGAGTTTTTCCAAAGAAAAATCCAAACACGTACGCCATAATGTCATTGCATATGATCATAGAAACTGGTACTATGAACCATATTAAGCCATCAAATATATTTTTGAGAATCAAATATGATTGAGTGACTACAATTAGTAATGCCACATGGGTCCAGGCAAATAATGAGAATTGTTTCATGTAGTATTTTTTGACTAAGGACAAGACAAACCAGACAAAGCCAACACAGTAGAGACTGAAGGAAATGAAACGGTGGTAGGATACAAGAAAACGGATACTTTCCTGAAAAAAAATAAAAATATATTTCAATATATTTTTAAATTTGGCCTAAATAAAATGATAAAAGTTTTCATTGTTATAACTAAAAATTGCAATAAAAATTACGACCTTGTTCTAGTTTAGTTTCAGTCACTTGTATAAACAATTCAAATTTTGACAAAATAAACAGTAAAGCTTCATTTATTATTTTAAATCTTTTAACAAAAATTTTAATTATTAGGTCAAATAAACATGAATATTCGTACTTTGAACAAACAATATTTACTTACCGTTCTGTTAATAACAACGCCAAAATAATCCACCAGACTTTCACCGTAGAAGAAATAATTTGAAGTCAAAAGGAAGTACCAGGAAAGCGACCTGAACCATGGAAGACCGTGTATTCGGTACACTGCATAACCAATATTGATGATTTCTTGGAAACATTTCACTTGGACGACCAAAGTCTAGATGAGAAAATTAAATAATATGTGATTTTTCAGATTTAGCTGATACTTACTGTAACCATAAGGGCTAAAGGTCCTCCATAAATCACCAAAAAGAAAAATATTATCATGATCATGGTAAAAATGAATCTCACTGCCCAGTTGCGCCACCTGTCAGGCAAACCTTTCACGAGCCAGTCCAATATTCCTGGTGATTTGTCCGTTCCTGTGGGTATTGTTTTGGACAAGTCTGTGGCTGTTTTGCCTTTGTCATCTTCACTGTCAATCTGGAATAAGGAAATAAAATCAAAACCAATTCAATTTTCAACGCTTTGATTTTCCACCGAATTCACAACAAATTTCAGATTTACTTTATTTATTATATTTTAGTACATCCTGTTAGGTTCCTGCTAAGAAATGGCAGCTACCAATCTCAAACCAATGTAAGCGAGTATTCTAGAACGCTTTGTTAAGTCCATGCTAGAAGGTTTTATTAACCTTCTTACTTTTTGATGTTTTCATCCTCTACCAATTCCAGGTTGCATTCTAGAATACCCTGTTAAGTCCCTATTAAATGACAAATGACGGTGGGTAATACCCCATTCAAAATTTTAGAGAAAAAGGATAGAAATCCTTACTTGAGACTTTGATGTTTTCAACCCTTTATCTTCTACCGATTATGAAATCAAGTCAAGGCAGTATTCTGGAACACTTGTTAAAAGATGGGAGCAGCACCCCAATTAAATATATGGATAAAAATGTTGAAAACCTTACTTTTGTTGAGTTTTTTGATATCTACAACCGCTAATCCTCTACCAATTTCAAAATTTCCAAGACCAATATGTAGACATTATCAAGAACAACCCATTGATAGATGGTAAGAGACTGCACATTAGGAAGAAGTATAACTTATGTCGACTATATTTTCACTAAATTTATATAGTAGAAATGAGTTTAACTTCTTCTGAAAAATGGATTTAAATTTTGACTAAGTATCGGCTCAATGTCATTTTCTAGAAGCGTGGAAGGCTTCAACAATTACCCCGATTGAGAAGAAAACAAATTCGAATCTATGAGAGAACTTCAGACCAATAAATATGGGCCAACTTGTGAGAAACCAATGGATCTTGTATTCAATCAACAATAAGAAAGCTACATATAGAAAAGAATCTCAATGTATTTTCAAGCTGTTTTTTTTTTGCTGAAAATTCCTTGCAAAGTGCCTTACAACCAAGGTTGTTTAAGAGAGGTAGGTGCCTGATAACTTTATGACGTCATCTGGGGAGCCTCAACATAATACAAATCTCCATAAGGCACCCCAGATGCGTCATCAGGTTACCCATCACCAAGCAACCTATGAACTTTAGGAACCTTGCCTTACAACTTCAAACTATAATAGCAAATTGGAAAGACCTATTGGAAAAAAATTTAGTTATTGGTGCTTTATTCCTTGATCTAAGAGGCGCTTTTGAAACCATTGATACTAACGTTACTGCTGGAACTGAAGACATATGGAATTCGAGAAAAGGTTCTTCAACGTATTAACAGCTATTTATTTGGGAGAAGCCAAAAAAACAAATTAAACAACAGTTATGGGCCCAACCTTTTTTGTCATTTACATGAATGACCTCGTTAATGAAGTAGCCCAGTACATAAAAAATTGTAATACTGAACTTTCTGCCATTGACATCCTCATATACTTTGCTGGCAACAATAAACAAGAAATAGAGTATAAGATTAACGAAGACATGAAAAATTTAGCCTCTTGGCCAAATGAAAATCATCTTTGCCTTAACGTTGGAAAAACTAAATTCGTGGTTATTAGGAACATAAAAAAAACAGCATTGGAGAAAGACTCAAGCTGATCACATGAAAATTATTTTTGAAGCTTACAACTTTCCTGAGACTTGGGCAACATCGTTTGTGATTCCAATATACAAAAAAAGGAGACAAAACCGTTCCATGGAACTATCGTCCAGTTTGACATGCAATCTATGCAAGTGTATGGAAAAAATTGTAGTGAATCAGTTAACCCCATTTTTACTGGAGCAAAATCCATTACTGAAGCAACATGGCTTTCTTCCAGTGCTTTCTACTACCACCAATCTCACACTATGCTTGGACGATTGGACAAGGGACTTTGACAATAACGAGCAAGTGGATGTAATATATCTCGATTTCGAGAAGGCGTTCGATAAGGTGTGCCATCATCACACAGCTATCTTCTGCATAAATTACATCACTCTGACATTGCTGGGAGCTTGCTACAATTTGTACCAACTTTTCTATTGAACCGATACTATCAAGTAAGAATAAATGCAACATTCTCAAACAGAAGAACAGTCCAGAGTGATCAGAGCCCTAGGGATGAGTACTGGGTTCTCTACTTTTTCTAGTATATGACATCAAATATCCAAACCAAAATCCTACTTTTTGCTGATGACACGAAATTGTATGCAAAGGCCGCAGAACAACAAAGAATTGCAAGAAGATTTCAGAGCTGTGTAGTCCAATACCTGGAAAATGAGGCTAAACGAAAAAAATGTACTACCTCGAACATTGGGACCAATACCACTGAATATGTCTACGAAATAAACAATGTTGAGCTGAAATATGTGGGAGAACAAATGGATTTAGGTGTCATAGTAACCTATAATCTGAAATGGGAGATGCACGTAACAAAAATAGCCAAAAAATCCAACTGATACATATACCTTATGAAAAAGGCCTTTGAAAACCAGGCGTGTGACACCATTATGAAACTGTATAAATCTTTTTTACATCCAAAACTAGTATACGCCCACTCAATTTGGAATCCATACCTCATAAAGAATACTGAGGGTACTAGAGTGTGTGCAGAGACAAGCAATAAAAATTCCACCATCACTCCATAATGAAAATTACCTTATTCGACTATCCACTTTGGGACTTACTTTTTTGAGAGAAAGGCGTCTGAGAGGAGATCTGATCGAGACATACAAGATTATTCAAAATGGCTACTCCTGTAACCTTGACATCTTTACCTTCAATGACAAGCCCCATCTACGAGGTCATACTTTAGGTTGTGCAAGAAAAAAACCGCCAAGCTTCCAAGAAGGAACTTCTTAGCAAATCGAATTTTCTACCCATGGAACAGCCTGTGAAATTCTACAGTCATCGCGCAGAGTTTGAATTCTTTCGAGAATAAGGTCGACACAGATATGAAGGAATTATTCCAAGTGGATATTCAGTATGGGCAATAACTTATCAAAAACACGACGATGCCGAGTATGTAACAGACGAAATTTCCAGAAATGTAAATGTATTGGGAATGAAGAGAAGATAAGATGCGAGTGACATTCTGGGTATAAAAGACATTCAATATATTTAAATACATTAGTATTCATATCCAAAATGTTACCATGGGCCTCTACCAAGAAATTTATCGGAAAACTCTGTAACTGTGCATACTATTCATAATAATTATGACTGCCAGTTAAAATCTTATTTTTGTAATAAAGTCATTTCGTCTAGTGATAGAAAAATAGCAGTTGGAAGCTTGAAGGAAACTAAGTCAATAGGCTCTGATATAGGTACCTCAACATAATTAACTTAATTTATTAATATTTAGGTACTGACCGAAGTAAACGATATCAGTATGTTGAGACTAAGGGCTGCAAATGTTTAGTCAGGTATTCCACAGGGGTCAAAGCTGGGTATGATTTAATTTTTGGTTGCATTTAAGTCATTGAAAGTTGAAACTCTTGGTTTTGCTGCGACGACTTCAAACTGTTTTATGAAATTTCATCAATTACTCTATTGGTAATAAAAGAGTGTCTGAGCAAAAAGATCTGGGAGTTATTTTTGATCCTGAAGAAACACAAAATTTTAACAGTGTTTGAAAGTGTTGCTGTTGTACCTATCTTAGAACATGGCCCCCAATAACATAATTTGGGTGAAATAATAGAAAATGTGCAGCGAAAATGGGTGAAGTGAATGTACTGCAGGAAGTTTGAAGTGTATTTCCAGCGTGGCTGTAGTAATGACTATTTACTGGGTGTTTTCAATAAACTTTCACTGAAGAGAGGGTGAATACCTACAAATATTTTTCTGCACAAAGTATAGGGTGCTGACCAATAATATTGACTGCCCGGGTATTTTGGAACAGCTACCTTGTGCTGTTAAGTTAACCCGATAAATTGGAGGGGTAAGAATATTTCTTGTTTGGCCTACCCTAGAACCTATTCCATTCTCCGATTTATAATTTGTGTGATCTATTCAACCTTTATGTTAAGATTATTTGTAAGGGTTTAATGTCATTTACCTGTATTATTATATTATTATTATCAAGTCAGTATCTGTAATTGGATCTACTGTTGTTACTTTGAATAAATAAATAATTATGATATGCGAATAATTCTTATGTAAGAAGAGCGCCCAGAACATCTGACCAAAAGAATGTGTTTTATAAAGGACTAACGATGTGCAACCAACTGCCAAATAATGTGAAAGATTCTGAAAATCTACAACAGTTAAGGAAATAGAGAGTAAACATGACATACATACAGTAATCAAAAAAATAAACTATCGAACCACTCCAATTCAAAGCTAAAGCCGGATACTCGCAAAATGATAGCGAAGAGAGGAAGTCTGCACAGAGATTCACCCGAATACACTGAAATAAACCAGAACCTCTCGGAGAAGATACAACACCGAAAAAATAAAAGAAATCATAGAAAACAACAAAAGCATGAAGATCCTTAAGCAGTCATAACGAAAAGGCAAAATAAGAATCCACCAAATGAAGGATAAGGATGGAAACATACAACACGAAAAAACAAAGATCATAACAATCATCCAAGAGTACTATAAGGAACTCTACTCAGCACCACACCATAACCAAGATGTCGAGCAAAACATGAACATAAAGAATGCAGGTTCTGAAGAGAGGAAATGAGGAACAAAAACTATCCTTTAAAAAAATTCAATAAACAGGCGTTGACTTACATAATAAAAAATAAACGAAAGTTTTTCTAAACACGAAAGACATATACTTCATGGAAATGGCTACTGTGTTGGAGTTTGTCTGAAATTATTCAGTTCTTGTTTTAATTTAAGAAATTGGCATATTGTCGGTACTTTGATATATTTGAATTATTTATTGAAATATTTATTTATTTTTTTTTGTTATTTAATTCTCCTAGCTATAGCTTTAATAATAAATTTAATTACTTATAGTTTTTGGCACACACAGATGCATAGGCATCTAGGTGCCACTTTATTATTGTTGAATTTATAATTTAATTGTACAGCTTATAAATTGAATACCAGAAATCACCATCTCGGAGATAACACTTGCACTTTCACAGCTTAAATTTGCAAGAGCTCCTGAGGAGGACCGAATCACAACATAAATGTTAAGACTAGGAGGAGAAAATGTGCTAAAAGCAGTACAGTCTCTCTTAAACAGATGCATTGAGACAAGTCAAATCCCCCAATCGTGGAACAACACACAGGTCGTCATACTCCAGACAAATGGTGATGAAAACTCAAAAGAAAACCATAGACCCATCAGCTTGCTTGCACATCCCTATATACTTCTTACAAAACATACAGGCTATAACATCAAAATGGACTCCTATCAGCCAGAGGAACAGGCAGGTTTCCAAGAGGGATATAGCACCACAGATCACCTTCAAACAATTCACACACTTATAGAACAATGCACTGAATATAACGTCCCACTACATATGGCTTTTGTCGAGGCTTTTGTAGACTACAGCAAGGCCTTTGATTCCATACACCTAAGCGCAATATTCGAAGCAATGGAAAACGCATGGATTGACTCAAGATACATAAACCTGTTGAAACACATTTACGAAAACGCCACACTCCAAGTAAAGATCGCAAGCAATCACGAACAAAATACACATAAGAAGAGGCGTAAGACAAGGCAACACCATTTCTCCCAAGCTTTTCACCCTAGCCATGGAAGATATATTTAAAACTCTATCATGGGAAAACAAAGGTGTGAATGTGGATTGCAAATATCTAAACCACCTAAGGTTCGCCGACGACATCGTCCTAATCGGTAAAACACTCGATCTAAAAGAAATGATACAGCAACTGAAGCAAGCATCGCAGAACACAAATTCATGAGTTTCAGTGGGACGAATACGTCTATCTGGGGCACCAGATCAAGCTTGGGAAAGAGAACCAAAAGGCTGAAATTATGCTAGGCATTAGTCTGAGAGACAAGATAAACAACTACGACATACGTCGACGCCCTGGTGTGAACGGTGTGATCCAGTGCCGAGTCCAGTGCATAGCAAAAGCAAAGTGGAGATGGGCAAGTCACGTGGCAAGCCACCGAACAACAGATGGACAAAAATAGTCATAAAGTGGAGACTAAGAAGACACAAACGCAGCAGCAAAGGGAGACCCCAAAAGAGGTAGATGGATGACATTTACTGGAGAGAGGACGGCAACACATTGCACAAGACCGTCAGAGATGGAAATTGGAAGGGGAGGCCTATGTTCAGGAGAGGACGCGAATGGGCTGCTTATGATGATGATGATGATGATGGAAGAGTGAAGACACTACATATTTTTAGATAGCTTTATGAAATATTTGGTAAAATTTGTATTAGCATTTTGCTTTCAATAAATCATTCAACTATCCATTTATCCTCTAAAGCAATAGAAGTCTCCTCAGCATAGTATCTCATGACTTACACAATTTAATGCTTTCGACAAGTCACAAAAAACTGTTGCAGAAGCCTCCCAATAATTTAGAAGCTCCTCTAAAAAGAATAAAATAGTGTCTGAGGTCTGTTTGCCAGAAATCCAAATTGCCTGATGTGCAAAATATTGTTGGCGCTTAGATCTTGATAATGTGCTTCTTAACCAGTTGCTCTATGATTTTGGAGAGCGGAGAAAACAGCGAGATTGGACAGAAGTTAGATGGACTGACAAAATCCCCTCGAAAATCACCACCAGTAAATAGACATACTTAACCTGGCATTCTGGAAAAAGGCCCAATTCAAAATAAAAGTTTATGGAATTTGCAAGAGCCAAAAGGACTGCATGTGGGAGTTATTCAAAAATTTGCAAAGATACACCATCTTCTACTGAGAGATTTGTTTTTTTTTTTAATAAGAGAAAATGGAGGAGAAAATATGCTTTTAATCTTTTGGAGACAGGAAAAAAAGAACCTGGAACAACTATTATTGCCCTATATTCCTGTCTTAACTGAAATGTTGTTGTGTAAATACATATGTACCTAAATTGAATTTGCTGAAACATGCTTGGAAACAGGCAAATTAAATAATAAGAAACCCTAATAAAAATACATGACATTGATTTTCAATTAATTTTTATCAAATAGGTATCTTTGGTGCAATGTAGCAAAACAGGAAATTTTTTGGACTTTTCTATGTAGGTGATTAATCACATAATCCAAACAATAGCCTAAAATTAATCACCGTACTAATTAAATTAAAAGGACAATTTACAAGGCCTCTAAATTTCAATTTCCTGTTAAAACATGAACAATTTAATTGTTTCTTACATGTTTATTATAGCAAGTTTATTCAATAATGATATCAATAAGTATGTACCTATAGTGGTTTGCAATTTATGAAAATTTTATCTATGGCTTCACTGTAGGAATTCTAGGAATGGGATTTGATAATATAGTATTCTACAGGCTTTAATTTTAAATTTCCTTCAACAACATGCAATAATGATTATCCTTTGTTGAGTTAACCATTGAATTATATTGGAACAATAAAATTTATAATTTTGTAGGTATAATCTCGGGTATATAATATACTGTGATAATATTATAAATTATTGTAGAATAGGGACTTTTAAAACGTCTCTCATCCAGAATATGATTGTGTGGTTGGATGAGGGTCCTGAATTTGTTTACAAATAAACAGTAAATTCCTTTAACACAATAAATTGTTTGCAGAAAAAATTTATTCAACTTACATGGTCTGATTCAGCCGATTCCAATAGTTTCCCATCGCTGTCGCGACGTTTTCGTAATTCCGTCATATTTTATAATTTATTTACTGTACTAACAACTTACGCACTGGCTGGGACGAGTAGCACAAATTTTGAATTTATGTTTATATTTTAAATAAAAAAAACTTCACATTATTTTGATTGTGATTCGTCAAAAATCAATAGAGATTTTCGATTTTCCAGGTTATGTCGCATGCGCGGCATGCGCCATCTGTTTGTCAACTCTACTAATAACTGGTTGCGCTGGCCAATAGGAACGTTCCGTCAGTTCAAGGATGGATTGCGATTGGTCTGGGTTTTCTCAACTTTTTGACAATCAGCTGATTTTGACGCACAGTCAATAATAACTATTTTTGACGTTGTGCCAGCCTTGCCACAAGTGAGGTGAGGAAAATACAAAAATCCTTGCATTCTCTTCACTACCGTCAGTGTTTTTATCAAGTTCAAAGATTTAAAACAACCTCGAGCACGTCCAAGTCAAGTTATTTATAATTCATCGCACAAAATTCATACAGAACCATGTAGCCAAAATCTGATTTAACAAAGTAACAAAACAAAGTGAAATTTCTCTCCTCATAACTTATGTTGATTGTATAAATTAATATCTAAATATGCCTGGACAATTCATAAAAGTCAAAGAAACCCGTGGAGTAGTTTCCAGAGAAGCTTTTTCGGACTCCGTAAAGAAACAAGACTTATCAAAATGTGATACCGATTCGAATTATTCCAATTCTATGGGAGATATATGCAGGATATGCCATTGCGAGGCTGACGCTGAAAATCCATTACTATCACCATGTTATTGTGCTGGAAGTTTGAAATATGTTCATCAGAATTGTCTGAGACAGTGGCTGGCTGCTTCCGACACAAGGTCCTGTGAACTGTGTAAATTTAATTTCATTTTACACACCAAAATCAAACCATTGTCAGAGGTAAGTACATGAAGTTTGTTTGGATGGATAATTTTTGTGAATAAGAAAAGGTCAAGGTATTATTCTCGATATTATTATTCTATAGCTTCAATTATATTTTTGACCACAAGCCTAAAATTATAGTCCTTTCCCTTGACATGTTGTTCATACATTCTGTAAAAACTCTGTAATGCAGTTTTCTAACTTTTTCTGTTTTAGAAACTATACTTTTTCACATTTCTCATTTAACAATAGGTAATGGTAATACATTTTCTCTCAAATCAGTGCTTGGAGAACTAGCCTGAAGAACAACAGTTTTGAACTCAATTCTAATTACTTAAAATCCTAAATGTGATTTAGGTCTATAGACCTAGCAGTCCCAAGGTGGAAAAAAACTTCAGGAACTATATAATAATTAGGTGCTTTTCGGGTGCTAATTAGGGCCTCTAATTGAAAATTAGGTGCTCCTTTAGTTTTTGAGAAAATCAAAACAAACAAAGGGACTGCTAGGTTTATAAAAGCTAGCAGTCCCCTATAGTAAAAAATATTTTTACAAATTTTTTGTTTGTATCAGAATTAGGTGCTTTTTTGGTGCTCCTAAATAGTTGAAGAAAAAATAGAATTGATTAATTATTAACTGAGTTATAATTTTTTAATTATTAGGCGACTGCTGGCTTTACGTTTACATGTTGGTGTGTCAGAATGGAAAAAAAACTTCGGGATCTATATAATAATTAGGTGCTAATTAGGGCCTCTAATTAAAAATTAGGTGCTCGTCTAGTTTTTGAGAAAATCAAAAAAAAATCTAAGGGATTGCTAGGTTTATGAAAGCTACAAGTCCCCTATAGTAAAAAATATTTTTCCAAAATTTTCTTTTATATCAGAATTAGGTGCTTTTTAGGTGCTCTTAAATAGTCGAAGAAAAAATAGAATTGATTAATTATTAACTGAGTTACAGATTTTTTTTTAACTATCAGGGGACTGCTGGCTTTACGTTTACATGTTGGTGTGTCAGAATGGAAAAAAACTTCGGGATCTATATAATAATTAGGTGCTTTTTAGGTGCTAATTAGGGCCTCTTATTAAAAATGAAGTGCTCCTCTAGTTTTTGAGACAATCAAAAAAAAAAAACTAATGGATTGCCGAGGGGATTGCTAGGTTTATGAAAGCTAGTAGTCCCCTATATAGAGATGTGAGTGTGAAAAGTTTCACCTGAAAAGTTTCAATAAAATTCCATTTCATTGAAAAGTTTCAAGACAGTTCAAAACTTTTCAAAATTTCGTGAAAAGTTTAAAGATCATGAATCATGCATTCTGTGACTTTGTCCCAGGTTTGTTAAAACGGATGTCATGGTCGTGGGCAAAAGAATAATTAACGAGTGACGAAAACAGCATTTTTTGCAATGAGAAAACAGTTATTTTCAAGTTGCAAAAAATGATTTTTGACAAGTAAAACACTATACTTTTTCTAAGACCATGTTTTGATTTTTGCTGTTAAACCAAGTGTTAAACTTATGTTTTTTTTACAAGGGTTCCTACTTGGTTTGATAGCTGGCGCCATCTATAAAAAGTTCTCGTTTTTAATTAATTTTATACTTATATTTTGATTTTATTACATTATATAAAGAAAAATTGTAATATACTAAAGTGTGTTTTTTTTTTAAAGATAAAAGTCAAAATGACATTATGTTGGCAATACAATGTAAAATTGTCAATGCTTCCAAATTTTTTATGTAGAAAAGTTGTATGTTGCCAACATAGTTATTAAATTTTTGATTTGGGGAATTATCTTTAAAAAAAAAACGCACTTTATAAATGAAACACAGTCATTTGAGTGATGGTCTATTTATTACTGAAAATATTCAATTCTCCGTACCCAAAGGAACGGTACTCTAGTCACAAAAAACCCATTGTTAATCTAACCATACACTAATAGTGAGCTAGCGCATACACGACTATTTAGAGACGTTATGCACATATATAACAAAAATTTACATAATTTTGTTATGAACTATGTTTTTTCATTGTGCTCCACAGAATTGAAATATAATTGGATTTGAAAGAATGTATTTAACATGTGAAATTTTAATCATTCACTTGCGTCACTAGTGACGAAAGTTAATGTTATGGGATATTTCATCACTAGTGACGAAAATGATGTTTTCGGCTAAGGTGAAATATGACAAAAGTTGTTTATTTTTTGATGGTCATAGAAAAACAGATTTTTTCACTATTAGGTAGGGGAGACAGGGGTACATTTGAACAAAAACTACTCACTCCTTGATAAAAATACCATTTATTATTTTTATTGATTTTCTTTAGATTTGATGAATGGTAACATTTATTGGCAACCAAAAGACGGTATCACCCAAAAAAAAAAAGCAAAAAATAACTTAGATTTTTTAAATTTTTGGCGGTTGAGCATTTGTTCAAATGTACCCCTCAGTTGGGGTACATTTGAACATCTAAGGGGCAGTTTTGAACAAAATTAAAAAATGCATCTCCTGACCTTATACCTTAAAAAAAATATCCCCTATGCTTCAAAAATAAATATTCTTTAAATACATTCACATTATTTTCTCCTTAAAAGTGGTAAAGTCGAAAGCAAAGGACAATATATATGCTGCCGTAGCAGTTCCTCCCGAGATATCTGGTGCTGGGAGTTTCAACCTGATGTCTTCTCTCTCTACTTCACTAATGTCATCTTTTTCAGGAAAGTGAAATTTCCATGTACCCTCTTTTCTCTTCATAAATTTAACTGTGTAGGAACCAGATTTGAAAATGTGTTCAATCTGGCCAACAAACAATAACTGAGATTTTTTCGTATTAAATGAAACGAGAATAAAATCATTCAATTTTAAATCAGTGGTATCTGGTTCTTGATTTTCTAGGTCGCTGAATGTTTCCATTTCATCTGACGAGTCATCTTGGAGAGACATGTCAGCCTCGGAGATAGATTCATCAGACTCATCTTCACACAAGGCTTTGAAAACATTTTTTTTAACATTATCAATTTTTTGTAGGGTTTGCTTCATAGATTTGTTTTTTTTAGATTCTCGTTCCATTTTTTCCTCTTCTAATCTTGTCTTTTCAGGAGTTTCTGTTAAAATGCGTGATTTGCCTTTTTTCCTTCCTCTGGCTAAATCAGATCGAGGCGCAGCCTTTGGATAAGGGCGGACACTCTCTGGGGAAACCAATACTAACGTAGGCTTAGAACCAGCATCCTTCGAGGGGGTATCACTGTCTTTACTGCATCCAGGTACAGGGCTTGAATTGTTTAAACCATGAGATGCACTAGACCCCTCTAATGTTCCAGCTTGAATTGGCCTATCGGTTACTGCAGCGCTCATGAAGTCCTCATCTCCAAAAGCGAGCCGATTAAGTGGCCACAGTCCCGGTTTAGTGAATGCAGAAATAATGTTTGTTCTTGTAAACGTTGAGTTGAACGCAGTGTTAATTATGGACGGAAGATTATGAATGGATATGGTTTTGCCAGGATGGCTGGTTAACCAGTCGTTTTGGGCTACTTTTGTCTTAGCCTTGAAAGGTCCCAGCACACCCACATCAAGCGGTTGTAGTTTGTGGGAGCAGTGAGGCGGAAATGTAACAAGTGTTATGCCGTTTTCCCGGGCATAGTTGACTGCTTCGAGAGAGCAGTGGCTCTCATGATTATCCATTAGAAGAAGTATTGGATTAATTACACTGCACTTCGCCTGGTTAACAATATGTTTAAGAACTTCCATAAAAAGAACACGGGTCATCCAGTGGCTTCCCGGGCTGTTAGCCAAAACGATACTATTAGGTGGGCCATCCTCAATCAATGATTGATTAACCCTTGCACGGGGATAAATAAATACTGGAAGCAACGCATTTCCAGCAGCATTAATAATCATGCACAATGTAATTGACTGTCCCCTTTCTGCCGAAACTGCCTGACCGACTTGCTTAGCACCACGTGGAGCTACAATATTTGGTGCTTGTAGGACTGTGGCCACGCCAGTCTCATCAAGATTGAATATTTGACATGCTGTAAAATTTTTAGATTTTAGGGCCCTTTCGTAGTTGTCAAAAAATGCTTCCACATTTGTTTTGTTAAATGAAGTCAACCGCGAGAGTGAGGTATTTTCCGGTTTGCGAATACTTAGATTTCGATGTCGTTGCATAAAGCTGTAAAGCCAGTCTTCTCCAGCTAACTGTTTTGCAATCCAACTGTTCGGCATTTTTAAATTTAATTTTGCTGCATAGTCGTAAGCAAGAACTCTCATCTGTTTGTAGGTAAGACCATAGCACATTTTTGATGAATTAATAGCATATTCAACTAATGCTAATTCTTTTTCTTTGGAAAATACTTGTTGGCTGGAGTATTTGGAATAGAAACTGTGTTTAACCGAAGAAGTAACCGTTCCCTCGTCGTTAACCTTTATCTTCTTTAGGCGGTAAAATAGAGCTGTGTGTGACATACCATAATGTGTAGCTGCTTCCCGTCATATTCTGATCACGGACAGCCCTAATTGCGGCTTCTACGTCCTGTTCGCTGTAAACAGGCTCTGGTTTTTTTCTTTTGTAGTTACGAACCATTTTGCACCTGAAAATAACATCTACCTTGAAATATCCCCTAAAACACATGCATTTTTGAGTAAAAAGTTAACTGCATAGTGTTCAAATGTGCCCCCGATGTTTTGTTCAAATGTGCCCCAACGTACTTTTTTTGCTTAACCTAATATTTTTTCGTGACCAGAGAATAAAACCATCAAAAGCAACAAAACTATTAAGAAGCTAACACTTACCTCTTTCAAATGGTATGACACTAATTCACTTTTTTTTATTATTTATAAAACTACAAGACAAGTTCTGTTTTGTGATAATTTTAGCACATGTGCTCAAATTCATTACAATATTCTGGAAAGCTAAAATAATATCTGGAGGCAACCTAGCATAGGGTCATATGTGGTGGAACAGTGTTGCCACTGGTACAAGTAATTATTTATTTTTAAATGGGAACCTGTTTGAAGTAAAATCAGA